GTGCAAAGTCGATCAGGGGGTGGCCTGGTCTGAGAGGCGCGGCGGGATCCGACCCATGTGCGTTGGGGCGGCGCGGGCTGGCCACCCGCTGAGTGAGGGCGGCCGCAGCGGCAGGAGGTTGACGGAGGGAAGGCGGCCGGACGCGGCGCAGCACCCGCTGCCCCACCCTCCCTGCCCCACCTCCCCGCGGCGCCAGCGGCACGCTCACCCTCGACCATGGCGATCGCGCTCATGAAGAAGTTGAGGCCGACCGCAGAGAAGCCGTAGCGCCGCAGGAACGTCATCAGGAAGCCAAACCCGATGCTGCGGGGGTCGGGGTCGGGGTGGGTGAGTAGGGACCATGAGCACCGTTGGCCGCATTGACAGCGATGTGCGGTGTGCAGAGGCTGAAGGCCGCGTGCGAAGAGGGGGCATGTGCGTGCGAACGCTCGAATGGGGGGCGCCTCTGGGCGTCACGCTGCAGCGCACGCCTCCTGGGCACTCACAAGACCATGAAGAGGGTGTCTTGCAGCCATGAGTAGTACTGTGCTACATGGGCGGGGTGGACGACACCTGTGCGATCCAGTGGTCGAGCATGCCGTTGCACGGTGGGGCTTCAGCTGGGCGGCGTGACTAGAGTGCTCGGCCGGCGATCAGGCGGGATATTGTGCCCAGCTGGCACTGCGATACGTCCCAATGTGCCTACCCAGCCCAGGCAGACCCCCAGCTCGGCCTAGGTGCGGGCAGAATTAGCATGCGTATCGCTAACAGAGTGCGCGTGTCGCAGCCGGGTGACTCCGGGAGTGCCGGCTCAGATCACGTTTCTGCCCCAAGCCTCACCCTCGATGTCAGCCTCCTTGGCGGGCTCATACTTGGACAGACCCGCGAGAAGAGCCACTGATACGACGAAGACTGCCCCCGCCGACAGGCAGAAAGTCCGCCTGAGCGCGAAAGGCCTCCAAACGCTTTGCTGCACGCTACAGTCGGCCATAGCTGCTGAAGGGAAGTTGCTTACAATGATGATAACTCTCGGATAGCTACGCGCACAGCCGCTAGAAAGTGGCAGTGTTGGTGGCAGCACCCGCCAAAAGTGGCGGCTCGTCACCAGGTGGGAGCCTGATTTGATCTCCAGTTCGGTGCTTGCACATGGGCCAGTTGTGTTGATGCCATGCCGCGGAGCCATGCAATGGCTTTGGAATCCCCACACATTCAGACTGTTCATCCATTCCAGGGAAACAGGTATGGACCCAGTATGGATCGGTGACCATGACCCTGCATATTGTACGTGATACACACCCGACCACGCTTTAGTGGTGGCCGGTTGAACAGACCCCTTACTTCACTGCCATATTGGATGATGTCATGACTTATCTGTTGTTTAGTGGTGCTGCTGCTGGTGATACAATCGGTAAACGGCGGCAGCAGCCTTGCTGCCACCGTGGCTCCCTCCAAATGCCGGCTTGGTGGCAGGTACATGCAACACGTCTTTTCGATGAGCCGCGTCCAACGGCAAGCAGCTCGTCATGTTGAGTGAAGACGCCAATGAAATACAACATTTGAGGGTCATCAAAGCATGACCTGTTGCTGGACGTGCTGCTGCATCATGTCCATATCTGTCACTTTGCAGCCGCTTCATTCCATCAGGCCTAGAACCAACTCACCACAAGCTTTGTGCATCTATGCAAAAATCTTGATCAAGCACAAGCATCGCGCGCCTGAAGTCATTGCTTTGAGCAACTTTGCGCTTGATATGCTGCGACAGGCTCGGAACCCAGTCGTTGACCGACGGTCTGCCGGTCAGCACAGTCTAACCTCACATGACATGCCCCCTATTCCTTGCTACAGTAAAAAATCGCTCTCACTAGCTTGTTCTCAGCATACTGTGCCCCTTGCGCCGACCAAGATCACCAGCAAGCATGGGTCAGGCTGCCTCAGTGAACAAGGACGCGGTCCTGGCGGTCGCAAAGCAACCTGTGAACTACACGCTTCCTCTGGGTCCCGTGAACCCCGTGAGTGGGGCCAATGAGTGTGCTTCGGCAAAGCTGAGCAGCGGGAATTGCACATCTTTCGTGTCCATGACCCGCCTGCGCCGGCACCGAGCTACTGGAGTGAAAGCATTCCGCCAATACGCCACAACGGATTCCGTTGCTGTGCGGTCCAAAGTCATTGCCGATGGTTGCTTGCGACGCTGAGTGGGTGGACGGCGACTACTGTAGGGCAAGTGCGTGGACTTGACATGGGTGCCTCAGCCCTTGCATGCCATGCGGCTATCGGCTCTCCCGTTTGCAGGAGAACCCCCTGGTGTTCTTTGACATCAAGCTGGGCCGGTGAGCACTCCACACCGCGGTCATGCGCGCGGCAGAGCACGCACTTTCTCGCTCGGGGCGGTTGGGCGCCCACTTGTACCCTGCGGCTCCGACGCATCACATGTGATTGCCGTCCCGTGTGCGACGCCCTATTCCTGCCAATCGATCCACCCGACCCCAGCTATGGCGACTCCACCCCCCTGGGACGCATCGTGATGGAGCTCAAGGCCGACGGTGCGGCCGACCTGACGGGCCCCGGCGACCCGCGCTGCCAGCCAGCTTGGGGCCCTTGATGCACTGCGCCGCTGCACCCTCTCGGTCCGCCCGCCTTGGCAGGCCGGGGTTTCGGCCGATCGGCCCTGTATGGCCGTATTGGAGGCGCCGCGCCTGGGCCTCTCAGTAAGTGGAGCAGCCACACATTGATGTATTGACTCCTGGCTGTCCCCTTGACTCCCCTCTGCAGTGGTGCCCAAGACGGCCGAGAACTTCCGCCAGCTGGCAGTGTCCACCACGCCCGGCGCCGGCTACAAGGGCAGCCGTTTCCACCGCGTGGTGCGCGCACAGGGGCCCCCGCCCTGCAGTCCGAGCTGCGCAGCAGGCGACTAGCGGCGCATTCACGCCGGCCGCGGCTGGGACGATGAACGGGGGGCAGGACAGACGCGCCCGGCGTGGCAGTTAACATGCCCGCAGGCTGCACCAAGTGGCAGGCAAGGCCTTTCGCTTGCCCGTGAGGCCGACCTTGCCAGCCGTTCAGAAGAAGGGCCGCAGTTGACCCTCCAGCAACATCCGATCGAGGCTGCCCCCCACAGCGCACCTTCATCCTCCAGAGCGACGGGCCGCCTTCGATCGGGCCGGCTGCTCGGACGCACCCCTGTGTCCCACCGATCACACTCAACCCCCTGCACCCACTGCCCACCCCCTCCTCCAGATCCCGGCGTTCATGTGCCAGGGCGGGGACTTCACCAATGACAACGGCACCGGCGGCAGGTCCATCTACGGGGCGCGCTTCCCTGGTGGGCTGGCGGCGCCCCCACACCTCGGGCTGCGCCTGCATCGCGAGCATGACCGGGCCTAGGTCGCAACTGCACGACAATGGCAGGGTCGCTCGTGGGCACCATCGGCTGCAGCCCCTTGCACCCTGAGATCATGGCATGCCCTCCACCCTTGAATGTGCTTTTTCGTCTTGGCACAGGCGACTCCAGCAGCCTGCTGTGCCGCTTGACAGCCCTCCAGCATCATGAAAAACACCGCACCCCCATATCGCCCACATCATGTGCCAGATGAGAACTTTGTCCTCACGCACCGTGGCCCCGGTGTGCTGTCCATGGCCAACGCCGGCCCCAACACCAACGGGTCGCAGTTCTTCCTCTGCACCTCCACAACCACCTGGTGCGCTGCGCAGCGCCACCCCGCGCGCATCAGTCAGTGATCGTGACACACCTTATCTCAACCGCTGCGTTGACGGGCAACTGGTTTGCATTTCGCATAACGGAGAGGACGCAGCGAGCGCGCGCACTTGACTTGCATCCCTGCTCCGTATTCCAGCCGCCTACCTGCCCACACGCCATGACCCGCACATTGCGCACGTTCAAGCGATGCCTCAACTTCCTCAGCCCTCGCAACTCATCAAACCGCCATGCGCCCTCCCTAATTACTAAAGGCTTGACGGGAAGCACGTGGTGTACGGCCAAGTAGTCAAGGGCTTTGAGGTGCGCAGGTCAAGATCAAAACACATCAAGGCTCCCCATTTCTCTGCCTGCTCGTCGCACGGGAGCCCAAAGGCCCATTCGGCTGACCTCGGCCCCTTTCGCAAGCCCCTCCTGCCCTAGCCCTACCCAGCTGCCGCTGTCTTCGCACCCCTGAGCCCACCCCCACCCCACCGCCCACCCCCGCGCGGCGCCGGCTTTGCCGCAGGTGGTCAAGGCGATCGAGGCGTGCGGCGCGCGCAGCGGCGAGACCGCCTTTGACGTGATGATCGCAGACTGCGGGGAGCTGCCCAAGGGTGAGGCGCGGGCT